AATACTTCATCTCACCAACTTGAACCCACTTCCTGCAAAGACAAAAATTTCCATCCTTGTATTGAAACTTAGTATTGTCTTTGTGTTTTTAAAAAGAATGTGAGGGATGACAATATCACATGAAACAATCGACAACAGACCGAAGAACAAATAATGTTTACTTATTTTGATCTATTATATTGCCTTTTTTACTTTTAAGTTATGTATAGTATTTCCATATTTCAATACACAGTACAAGACTTTGGACCTTTTTCAGGTACATGTACTCTATATTTTCTATATTAATGTTATTTATGAAGTGCTGTCAGTATACAGTTTGAAACATGTTAAGGCGAGAACGTTCAAAGTTAATGTACTTTCGTTCCGGGACATTCTTGTATTTGTAACACGGATGCTTTTAGAACACTCTCTGTATGACATTCGCGTTGAGGTTGCGTTTTAGGGAATACGTGTTTGTGATACGGAATACAACTTAACACGTGCTTTAGTTACTGCTACGATTAAAGAAAAAAGTTACTAAGTTGCTGATAGATTTGATTGTTTTTTGATTTATAAATGAAATTCCGTTGTTATATTTAACCTCTGGTGGTCTAAGATTTCAAAGCTAGACGTGTATAAATAAGAAAATGTATTTATAAATGCTTTTAACATCGAGATAACGTATTCGTTGCTTCTGTCGTCAGAAATAGCTTTCTAACATACAAACGGTTCAGTATTACTGGCTTTCTTAACAAGTATTAAATAAAATTAAACAGAAATAAATGTTATTAAGTAATTAAAAGTGAAAATTATCTCAATAATTACTGCTTATCAAATGTACTTACACGAGCACCAGATTTATATTAACTTTTTAAAAGACAAAGTAAAATTCGATTAAACATTTATTAAGAAGTTTCTATTATTTTTATATAGTAGGTATTTTAAATGCATTTTTCTTTCTTTGAAACTTCTATTCAGGGAACTGCTTTAATACACTAATTATCAAGACGAAAGAACTGTTTTTTATATGAAATGTGTAAACTCAAAAACTTCTGAGACGATTTAAAAAATCATTACACTATCAGACAGCTACATCATCATTGACTGACATAGGCTATATTTTTTACTAAAATTTGTTTAAACTCCACGCAGACTCAGTCACTAGCAAAAGCTAATCTTACTAATATTATAAATGTTGAAGGATGGATGGATGGATGGATGATTATTAGAGTTTATAGCCTAAACGGCTCAACGAATTTCAATGAAATTTGGTACAGATGTACAGAATAGTCTGGAAGAACACATATGCTACTCACTTTAGTTTTTTTAATTCCACGCGGACGGAGTCGCGGGCGAAAGCTAGTCTTAAATAACATAGTAACCTACAAGACAATAATTCACATAACAATTACATTGCAAATGAATATTATAACGAGATATTTACACTTACTCGAACCACCTGCTTTTGTATAAAAGAACAAAAAAATATAATGAATTACACAATCGAGTCGGTTCGACGACGTATTTCCGCACATGCTGATAATCTACTGCTTGCAAGAAAATGTATCGGTTGATTAATTGATGATATAACGAATGTACGATAAATACTTTACTATAAAAACCTGTTTTTATCAGCAAAAGAAATAAAAAGGCAAAACGAATTACTCAATTATCACTTGGTTTCTTGTGCATCGCAATTATTTAGTATAAAAGTTACTTTGATAGGCACATCGGATACGGACTAGTGACAAGAGGGCTAACCACGAATATTTGTGAGATTTTTTTCGTAACGTCATCGATAAAATTAGTATTCATTCTGAAGCGTCTGTCATGTACAACAAATCTCATATTTGTCGGTGATGTTACAAATACGTTTTCGTAGCAGTCTTGAAATATCCGTGATAGACCCTAAGGTAAACGCGGTAAACACTACAATAAAGTAAAAAGAGAAATATTAATTTAAAACAAAATATACAACACTAAAATCTTAGAAGGCTTGATTAGAACACCCTTTCACAATAAAAATTATCGGGATATATGCAGGTTGCATCACGATGTTTTCCTTCACCGAAAGATCGTCGGGTAAATTATGTACACATGGAATTCGAAACTAGAAAATCACATTGGTACATGGCGGGATTCGAACTTAAGACCTGTACATTACAAATCTAGTGCTTAAATCCCTGAACCACCAACGCTTATACCCTATATGAATAACCTTGCATAATATTACAATATCTTGCCTTGTCTGTCTTGATATTATATTTATTTATATAAATAGAGTTGTTGCATAGTCAAGTATGTTTATTGTCTATGGAACCGAAGCGGACAACTTGCAAACTGTCACATCAAATATTTAAGAAGTCGAGGCACAAAAGTGAATTTCTATTTTAGAGAAAAGTCAACAAATAAATACATATATTCTTTACAATGATTCTCAAACAAAAAAAATGTATAGAGTTTTAATTTTTAAGGTGTTTTTTGGTTAATTTAGGCACAAGTGATAATTATTTCTGTTAAAGTTACATGTCCCTAAGTAACAACCGTGTACTATAAAAGGCAGTTAAGTTAAGATTTCAAGGGTATCAATAAAAAATAAGTTAAGGAACGTGAAACTACCAACAATGGATCATGTAGTTTTTATCCCGCGCTAGTTTCACTTACCAGGCGAGCATAAAGTATGCAGCAATAGCGGGCCGAAAGTTCCGTAGTACGGCTATGTAGATGCAATATTGATCAGAATTTCAAGTTCTTGAGACACGCTAGCGCGCCACCTCGCGGCCTGATATTACACGGATAACATAAATTATTGAAGGTGACACCAAAGTATCGTAACGGTATATTAAAAAGAATGACACGAGGGTATAGAAATTGAAATGCTACAATGTAGGAGCTACGAGTTAGTACCGTTAAAATCTAGACAGACTCAGTGATGTATGAATGATTTGTCTTTATTTGATCTGGCCAATGCAGTTTTTACATATTTTCTAATAGAACTGACCGCGTCCGCAGTACCCCGTTCATCCGTCCAGATTTAACGTGTTTTCACTATGTCGGACACAGATTATAATTTCTCACTTTAGCAGTTCTTTAATGTTGCTTTCTCGTACAAAATCCTCACTGAGGGTTACGCTTAGTGACCGTTTAACGACTACGGCAGCTACTTTTGTAACGTTCTTTATATATTAAACAGAGAAGACTTGTAAAGTACCAGGCTAACATGACAATCTAGGAGTGCTGACGTAGCACTCTATGAGGTAGGTTGTATATCGCTTGTATTGACGTAGCAGGTTGCGGTTCTCTGGGGAACCACCACCTGCCATCACGACTCAAACGTTGTGAAAAGCCAGCAACTTTTCTTTTATTATCGTCTTGTTAAAATATTCATTTATATAGCGCCAGAGTATTTTTATAAAACTGTACTTGTTATAGTATTTGAAAAACATGATAATTTTCTTATTCTGTTTAATTATCGTACTGTTATATTAAACCGCCATTCTTTTCTGTACACTGTTGGGTTATTATTAGTATGGTCATTTATGTTGATTTATTTTTCTTCCTTAAGTACTATTAATAATCTTAGATTATTTAATCACCAATTAAAATAACTTCCTATTGCTTAGAATCATACTTATCTGAAAGTACAGACGCAAACGTCTACCTAAAAATACAAAAACATTGAACATCACGAATGGAAGAACCTGGACTTTGAGCAAAACATCAAATATTTATGGACGATGTGGCAAAAAAGCTTTCAATGTTAAGAAATACGTACAAAAGTTTTTTTTAGTGCAAGCAAAGTGCTTAAAACACGGAAGATTTGTAAAATAACAGCAAAAACTATAAATAATTCGTTATATTATGTGCTAGTTTATTTACTGACATTTTTATTATCTGTATATAAAATGTAGTACACCTGACTTTAATTTTCAGGTGGTACATAAGACATATTGGTCGAGCTGCGGCTTTGGTTATGGTGACCACAAATTGTTAGTTTCAAAAATCTGTCCCGTTGGAATATTTTAGGCGTGAATGATTTTACATACGATACCTACTTAAACAGTGTGTTTTTTTGATGTCAGGGCATAATATCTACTACATACTATAAATATATTTATGTGGAACTCTATTTTAACCTAATACTACTTCCAAAAGAATGTTTCATTGCAAAATACGGTATTTAAAAATAATCAAAACTTCGGTTGGCTGTCAAGAATCACGTATTCTCTAACGCAGCGAACGTAGGCCTCGATACATTTAATTTAAGATGTTTACTGTAAAAACATTCGTGTAGAGTTGACATAGACGATGAGAAAAAACTCCAATAATTTTGTTACCATATGGTCACCCTATCGTCCATCGTCGGACGACGTTGGGCAGGCGTGACGGAGGCGCAGCGGGGTCGTTACGTGCCGCGGCCCCGCGCTCTCTCTTTCATTATTCACCGCAATCGATCTGAACCCATCAAAGGCCATCTTCAGAACGGCTACAAACTAATGCTTGTTTCATACGAGGGCAGAACAGTGAGAAAGAGTACAGACAATAGTAATACTGCATTTACGACTGGCTTACTGTTCTGTGCCTGTGTGAAACTAGCATAATCTCCTCATGCCTTCACGATTAGTAAACCTTTGAAGTAGAGGATGTAATACAATAGGGGAAATATGGATAGATTTTTATGAATATTGTACCATTTTCATAAAAATTACCCTAGTATTTTTAATTTGGGGCAATTCTACATTAAAAATATTACTAATCTTAAAACATTTTATTTTGTATCATAAAAGAATTTTCATTAGGTAATTGTTGCGGACTTCTTTATATGATCTAAATGTAGTTACAAAAAATAAAAAAAAGAGTGAAAAACTTTTTGTAACCCGTAAAAATGTTCGATGCAAGTTGTGTTGAACAAAATTAAAAAAGTTGTGACTGCACCAACTAAACGAATGGAGATATTGTTGGGAGTTTTTTCATGCAACGTTATGAACAACTGGAAATTACATCGCAGTCTATATTAGTTATTTATCAATGACTTACCTAAAAAGTAAACTTC